AATCCCTCCACTTCATAGATGTTAAACGTTGTGGGTTCAAGAATAAGAACGCTGCCCTTATTACCAACTTATTACCAAGCCTCAAGCAGGAACAAGAGGATATATTCTTGATTTATTGAGCTGGTAAATTGCCATAGATTATACATACTGCCATTCAGTTCTTCCTACCTGACCCTCTCTCTCATTCTCTGTTTTCTTGATCCAACACTGCAGGGGTGCTTCATCACTATTGTAATAGTGTATGCACAAAATCCGCTTTGACCATTTGTCTTATTTTGAAAGTTCAAGTCAAAGCTCAAGACACATATTCCTTATAAAAAAAAAACTAGCATGTACTCAGTTTGCAACATGAGGTATTCTAATGACACTTATAGTAACTACTTACAGAAAATATGTTTAGCCGTTTTGTGCAGCAGAAACTCTGAAATAACACATTTTAAAATTCTGTCATTGAAACAGTATGTATGTGTGGCCTATGTGTGGCCGAAGCAGAGCAGAATAATGTCATTTGTTCTCTCAGTGCTTCTCTTTGCTGGGATTACCTTTCCTCTATAGGGACAGAGGTTACTGTGATGTTGTTGCCCATGCTCTCATGAGTAAAGCTGATGCATGCAGGGATGTGACCGTGCATGTTTTTGCTCAGTTCGGGTGATATCTCTTGAGATTGCAAACTGTGGAACTGTAAGGATGTTTATATGAGCAAGGCAAGCCGAGAACAAAAAATGTGTACAGACTGTGTGCAGATTTACTGCTTCTTCTTCTTTGCCTTCTTTTTCTTCTCCTTCTCACTTTAGGTGTCATTGAAGTCGATCATCTCCCTCTATCTCACTCTATCCCCATCATCCTCTTCTGTCACACCAGCCTGCTGTTGTCCTCCTTCAGTACATCCAAGAATCTTTTATGCAACTCCATATCAACATTCTTTGTCCCTCCAAACGTGTCCAAACCATCTCAGCCTTTTTTCCAAACTGCTCAACCTGATCAGTCCTATGATACTGTCACGGCGGGGTACGCCAGTGTTGTGAACAGGGCCCAAAAGCAGATGCGGAGAGAGGAGTTGCAGGAGCCTTTATTTTGGCTGAAAGCAGCAAAAACCATGAAAACTGTGGCAAACTATGAAAAAACTGTGAACACAATGATAAACTATGAAAAATGTGGCTAGAATAACAGACGACCTGACAATGAAACACAGAAAACAGGAGGTGATCAGGGAAAGTGGGAACACATGGGGAAACAGCAGAAATTAACATAATGACGGGACGCGGGAAGGGAAACTAGATACAATGAGCAAAGAACAAAAGACTCTTTCAGAATAAAACTCTTTCAGAATAAAACAGGAAACATGGAGACGCAGACATGACAACACAAGAACTAATAACCACAACCTAGCATGAGAAGCTCAAAAATGCAGAATAAACTCAAAAACGCTGGGTCCGAGACCCATATATCTTATATGGGTCTTATCATACTCTTATAAATTATAAAACCCTTACAAATCTTATCATGCTCAACTCCTGGATTTTGTCAGTCCCTCCATCTCCGAACCATACATCATAGCAGGCCTCTCTATCTTCTTGTAGCTTTCTCTCTTTCAATCCTTCTTTTGGAAATCACCTCTGACACTCATCTGCCTGTGCTTTCTTATTCGCCATTGCTCTCTTTCTCTCTCTCTCATTTGCTGATTTTTCTGTTTTTTTCATTGTTTGTATGTTGAGTATTAAATTTTGATTTTTCCACTATTGTTCTTTCTGGAAAACAATGGAAAGAATACTATATCTAAGACTGGATCAATGATAACCAGTGACTAATAAGGAAGACTTGCCACAGTAATGTGTAAATGAGCCTTGGCAAATGATTGAATGAAATGTGAACACACTACTATGGAGGAGACTCTTATTCCATGTGCCAGTCTGCTCTGTGTATATGCACAATCTTGCATAATGAAGTAAAAATGTAGACGATAGAGTCAAAGGAGCTTGCAAAGAAAAGCGTCTGGACTTCTTTAAGTTGCTTGAAGACGTTTCACCTCTCATCCGAGAAGCTTCTTCAGTTCTAAGGTCAAATGGTGGAGAGTCCCAGATATAAACCTAGTGGGAGTGTCCCCCCACAGAGGGACAAAAGGACACCCTGATGATCCTCTAATCGCCTGAGCCAAGGTGTGAAACTGGGTGTGGGTCCTGTGAGCGACCATCTTTGAACAGAGGCAGGGGTTTACGACACCAACTCTCTGCCATCTATAATCCAGTTTTGAGATCCCTTCCCAGACGCCTTAATGCCCACTCACATCCTGGGCCATCTGACCTCAGGAATTCGCATGATAAGGTGGGGCCAGGTTTCACAATGAACACACCCGAAACTCTGGCTGATTGGGACCCACACCCAGTTTCACACCTTGGGTCAGGCGATTAGAGGATCATCAGGGGGTCCTTTTGTCCCTCTGTGGGGGGATACTCCCACTAGGTTTATATCTGGGACTCTCCACCATTTGACCTTAGAACTGAAGAAGCTTCTCGGATGAGAGGTGAAACGTCTTCAAGCAACTTAAAGAAGTCCAGACGCTTTTCTTTGCAAGCTCCTTTGACTACGATGACCTGGATGACTGAGAACCTTCACAGACATGTAGACGATAGACTTATCTACTGTTAAGTGGTTCCTAGTAAAAGTAATAGGTAATCAGTGCACAAATGGTTGAAGTAAATTGATGAATGCTCTACTTGAGCCCACTGAAGTCTTTTCTTCAGTATTTTGTTCAAGCTGGAAAGATGACAGGAAGTTTTTAACTTATTCGGGAAGAAAGAGAATTGCAACATCTAAAGGAGGAGACATAAAAGAGGTGCAGAGATTAAAGTTTGATTATTTTTTTATCTGGCCCAAAGATAAAATCAGGATGATTTGTGGAGTATTTTTGGTTGAGCTGTACTGTAAATCTGTCTTGCCTACTTTTTTTCTTTACCTTTATGCTTGTTTAGTTGTGGCACTCAGTTAACATTAGCAAGCCATGCCATGTCATCATTTCACTTCATTATGATAGATTTGTAGACCAAGTCACGCTAATCTGGTTGGGTTGTAAATAAACTGTCTGTTTGATATTTAGCAGATATTTTGGAATAACTGAACAAAATCTTTGTTTTCAAGGTAGAGATTATTAAAATGTATTTTCATTTGTATTATGGCAAATTACTGGCCTTACAGGTAAAGCATACTGAGTTTAGTCGCAGCGGTTTGGCGTTTTAATTTGATGTATGACAGACTGTCACCATTTTAATTATTTTCAGAATTTTTAGTCAAACGTCAGCATGTCGAGAAAATAAAAAAGTGTGCATCCTTCTTTGTGTGTAACACTGACAGAAAGACAGCAAAAGGGAGAAGAATATAAAGAGTTCATTAAGACCTTCACCAAAGCAAATAAATCATTATCCAGGCTTTTTGTCTGTCTTCTGTTCAACAGGCAATAAAACACACATCAGATCCAGCTGATCACTGGCAAATCATCCCTGAGCCTCTTCAAGGCATTATCCTAGGTTTTATGCAGGACACACAACCACACTCGTTCGTAACACATTCACAAACCCAACCTCAATGCTCTTCCCACTCGTGTACATTGGCTGCCAGAGCTGTCTTTGTATCCCATCACCATAACAACTGCCTCTCTGAACGTTGTAAAAAGAAAAAAAAAAGGGAAAAGCCAAAGTGAATTTCTCTCAGTTTGACTTGGAGATAGTGAGAGTAGCAGTCGGCAGCTGCTCACAGCATGTCAGTGGTGTCTGTCTACAAGACACGGGCTTGTAGAGGCAAGCGGGTTGCAGATGACTTGGTGAGAAGAGAAAGGAGGTGTGTGATGTGAAATTTTGGAAGGTGTTGTATCGTGTGACTTTCAGAGCGTGGGATAAACAGTATATGATGCTGCACATGGTGAGTGTCAAATGGCTGCTGCTTTTTGTTCTCGTTACTGCATGTGAGTGCTCGTGTTGGTAAGCACGCGTTTAAATTTGTTGCGTTACATGTCTTCATTAAGTTGTGTGAAATGTAATGAGTTTATGAGTCTCGAGGCTTTAGTACATGCGGATATTATGTAATGAGAGAAACTGGAAGACCTTGAGAGAATGAAGGAGTAATGAAAGTTCTCTGTAAATCTCATTTGGGATGCTGCAGATATTTTATAATTACATCCTGGAGATGATATTAGGCAATCATCCATGTTTTTTATTGACAGTTTATGTGTTCAGTATTAAAATTTTGTTTGGTCAATTTCTCTCAATAATTCCTTTTGTCTTCTGTAACTACAGTACATTCTTATTGGTACAATTCTAGGCTTCACTTTTGCATTTTAGATTTATTGTTGCCCTGATTCGTCAGACTATTTTAATCTATTATGAAGTGTTAGCACTGGTGCCTTGCTCACAGCTTCATTTCTCGCTTTATACTCTACAGGCTTGCACTCGTATTGGTAAAGGTGATGAATATTTTTAATCATAAGTCACAAAGGAAATTAAGTGTTGTGTGTGTCTGTGTATTTTAGAGTGGATATGATTTACATGTGAGCTTGTGCTTCTGACTGTGTGCTTGTTTTATGAAAGTGGTTTTAAACATTAATTGTAGAGCCATTGTTGTGTGTGTGTGTGTGTGTGTGTGTGTGTGTGTTATAACCATTACATCTGAACTCAAAATATGACGTTAGCCTCAGGATCTCATTTTCTTGCCGCTAATCTCCAAAGGAAAACTCTCCCTTTCAGTGCTGTTTTGCAGCTCTGTCCATTTCTTTTTTTGGTCTGTCCTATAATAGCTTATATACCGTATCTTCTGAACATGTTCCATTAGCTTGCCATGACTGAACAGAAATAAAACCTTCAAACACAGAAGGAGAGTAAGCAATGACTTCAGCTTTCATCTCTGGACTGCATTATTAAACATCCCCATCCACAGGAGTCTGACATCATCCAATCACAGCTGTTTCTTCCTCCTCTTCCCCTACTCCCCGTTCCCTTGTCTCCCTCCATTAGGCAAACCTGAAGAAATTCATGGAGTATGTGCAGCAGAGGAACATTGAAAAGGTCTCAAGGTTCCTGGAAAAAGGCCTGGACCCTAACTTCCATGATCCAGACACAGGAGGTGAGCAAGTCTGCTAAGATTTCCATCCCTGCCATACTTGAGTTTACTTATTGTTGATGATTGTTTTTCTCCATCCTTGATTTGTCATTTCTCTCCTTCTGTCTTCATCACAAATGACCATATATGGATTTTCTGAAATAAGCCTTCTGCATAGCGGGTAAAGCTGGATTACTCTCTTTGCTAATCTCCTCGTGTATATGCAAATGTTTGTCCAGTCATAAAGGAGATTTCAATGCTGGGTGACCTGTAGTGTAGCAGATGAGCTGCGAAGTGAGGGAAACATGAGAATAGGCTGATTTAACACCAACTGGAAGCAGCCAGCAGACAGGAGGGTGACAAACTCGACTGAAAAAGGCAGTGATCCAACTGCAGAGTCATTGAAAATGTAAAGCCACAGACAATTTTGTCCCAAAAAAAATGCAGCGATTCAAGTGGTGGATGTTTTGGGGGAAGAATGCACAATAATGTCAGTGGAAATAAGCTGAGTTTTCAAAAGTGTTCTTTGCTTCCTTGTGCTTGCAGAATGTCCTCTAACGCTAGCAGCACAGCTGGAGAGCTGTGCAGAGCTCATCAAGGTGCTGAAAAGTGGAGGGGCACATCTGGACTTCAGAACAAAAGATGGGATTACTGCTCTGCACAAGGCCGTGCGCAGCAAAAACCATACAGCACTTATAGTGAGCACATTTCACACGTATATACAGTTCAGCCGGCTCAACCACATTCATGCAAACTCCCCGTCTAGAAAAGGAGAATGTATGGGCAGGTAATGTCTGGCAGCAGGTGCTTGAGCTATCGAGCACAGAGGGCACTTACTAAATGTGTGAGATTGAACTTTGAATATGCTGACATAATCACTGAATCACTGAATGGCCTTGCATGTGTCTGGTTTGAGGAGGCTTGTAACCCAAATGAAATGGGTTGTGTGAGTCATGTTTCCTGTTGAAACTGAACTGTTGAAACTGGAATGAGTTATTTCCACTTTTGATACCACAGTTATGGTATTGAATGATCCTAAAGATCCAATAGGAGAGAGTTACAAATTGCAGTAGCTACAGCCTAAAAAGTACTGCCAGCTTTTTCCTGAGCCTCTCAACAAGCCTTGATTGGATGATGTCAGCTTTCTACTGGCTTTCTATTATAAGCCTACAGTAGCTCTTTAACATAAACAGGTGCCTGAACATGCAAGGTTCAGCATTTGAACACACAAGAATTATAAATTTAATGTTAAACAGTATAAAGAACTGGCAGCCTGTCCAGTGTGTGCCTGATCTCTCAGCCTATAACAGCTTCATGCTATCAGCTTATGACAGCATGAATGGATGGATGGATGGAATTAAGTGAGACCTTTAGGGTGACAGAATTCAAGAATTGGAAGGAAAATAAGTGGGAGGAAAGGAGGATGCTGATTAGGGCTGCCACGATTAGTCGACTAGTCACAATTACGTCAATTATCAAAATCGTCGAGGACTGATTTAATAGTCGACGCATCGTTTGAAGCTTTGTAAGATCACAAAAGCCGCAGGAATAAGTAGTAGGATTTAAGAGTGTAATAACGGACTGAAACAGAAGATGGCAGCACTGCATGTACAAGGATGCCAGTTGCCGTTAAACGCCAAAGAAGAAGAAACTGTGTCCCAGAGTTCATAGCGCGGCCCAGCGCAGTTTCCAACAATGGCGGCAGCTAGTTAGTTTTAATGTTACTCTTATTATTCTTTCTGGGTCACAAAATAAACGTTTAACATATTTTCAGATGAGAATGTAGCTGTGTAAACCTCAAATATCTGCTCAGTTTATCAAGACACCACATATTTTCAAAAGCGCTCAGACGTTTTCAGAGATGTCTGTTACCCACTAGCTTCTTAGCTAGCCGGGGTTACAGGCTCACTAGAGCCAGTGGACTCGTTTTCACACCCACTGCTATCTTTCGCTACTCAGGTTAAACATATACAAATCACTTAGATAACTTAAAAATCTTATTGTTTGGCTTTTTTCAGTATTTTATTTGTTCCTGAGTAAATCGGTTTGGCTGAGATTAAAGTTATAGTTTTTACACAGCTGAATAAACGTCAAGCAGACAACTGATTATCAGAAGTGTGAGATGCTCGAGAATATACTCCGGTGTCCTGTTATATTTTAGATAGCAAGGAGCAGACGGCTGAGTTTATTAAACTCCACCGAAGCAATCTGCAAACTTCATTAAAATGTAATAAACTATCATCTTGTCTTTATTTTTAGTTAGCACATATCTTAAACACTTAAAGCTGTAAGCTAATGATAGTCATATAAGAGCAGATGCATTCTGGTGCAATAAGCTGTATGTTTTATGTTCAATGGATGCATGATCTGATTAGTCGACTAATTGCAAAAATAATCGGTGACTAGTCGACTATCAAAACAATCGTTTGTGGCAGCCCTAATGCTGATATTCTTAGCGTCATAACAGCAATAGAAAACAACTTAAAAAAAGCTTTTATCTTGTATCTTTAACTAGTAAAGTGTAAATATTAACTTGTATTTTAATTCTTATTTATTATTTTTGGTTATTGTTATTCATCCATGCAAAGGTCTCTTTTATCTTCCCATTTCACTGTGAAAATTCAACCAAAACTGGTGACTTAAAACCTTAAACTTGCCTCTTTTCCCACTAGACGCTGTTGGACTTGGGTGCATCTCCTGACTATAAAGACAGCAGGGGGCTAACTCCTCTCTACCACAGTTCGATGGTAGGAGGAGATCCCTACTGCTGTGAGCTGCTGCTGCACGATCATGCACAGGTCGGCTGTGTGGATGAGAATGGCTGGCAGGAGATACACCAGGTAATACACAGTAATACACACATTACCCTAACCCAGACCTTCCCAAAGTGTGGGGCCCGCCCCCTAGGGGGGGGCGCAGAGCCATGGCAGGGAAAAGTGGGGGGAACAAAACGCTTGGACACTGCTAGCACGGGGCGCCTACAGAAACGCAAAGCAGGAGATGAAGCATAGCTGAATATGTTTCCAAACCAACTTCATTCTAAGCCAAAGACTAGAAAATATGGTGAAGCATATCTTCCCTTTGGTTTCACCTGTACAAGTGCCAAGGTAGGTCTCCCCTGCATAATTGGTTTTCCCTTCGTCGGGAGCACGTGCTGGGCTGTTCAAATCAGGGACAAACAGTATCCCACATTCTTGATTTTTAGTTCACAAACACTTGTTGTAATGACTAATTACTCCTGACATTTTGGAGATGTTAGCTCTTTATACAGTAAAGTTACAGCGGGATACAAATAATATCAGGCAGTTCCTGCCACGATTTGTTCCCCTGGTTCAAATCACGGACTAACAGTATCCTACAGCTGTTTATGTGTTTAAACCCATTTTGCACAGAGAGGCATTTTTTGAAAAATGTATTGATAACAATGTTGAATATTATTACACAGGAAAAAAAACAACTACAGGTAAAATAATTACACCGTGACGCCTCTGCCTTTCTAAATGGAGGGACAGTAACTCTGTGTGTATGTAAGCGTGTAAAACCTGCAGATAGTCAGATTAACAGTAACAGTATTTTGTCTCTCTGCAATTCATCTCATGTAAACAATAACGTGGCGCACAGCGTGATGTGAAAAAAGGCACATACCTTTGACGTTGCGCGACGAACTCTGTATTCCTCGTCCACACGTAAACGCAAAAAGGGAGTTTTAAAAAATCTCAGTTTTCGGTGATTCGAAACGCCGTTTACGTGTGGATGAAACAGCTGCGTTTTCAAAAATACCCGTGTAGGTGCGGACGTAGCGTAAAAGAGTTAGTAGTTTATTTTATTACTACCTGTCATTTATTGCAGTTTACTTGTATTTGCTTAATTGTTTACTAAATGTTTGAGGTGTGAAATAAACCGCAGTGGAGCAAAATATGGGTGTGTGTGGTTGGAGGATGTGTTTGTGCGTGTGGGGTGGTGGTGGTGGTGGGGGGCACGAACATTTTTCTTGTAAAACAAAGGGGGGCCTAGCAAAAAGAGTTTGGGAACCACTGCCCTAACCCAAACCACATGTTTACCCTAAACCAAATTAACCACAGCCAAATAGCTGAATCTTAAGCCTTAAACCTCTCTTTGAAATCTTCAGGACAGAAAGTGTCTTCACTATAATGGTTTTGGACTTAAACTGTTCTGCTCAGACATGCGCACTTGCATGCACACACATACACACAGATAACATTGTAGGGCTGTGTACAGACTATTTTATAGTTTTGAAAACCTGTGACTCTTTATATAAAATCAGTTTAACAAAAGCATTGTATTCGGGATATACTAGCTCTATCAATAGATTAAAAAAATGATGTAATTAATCTCACAATTTTCTGTAATTAATTGCGATTAAACGCAATTACTTGATCAATAGCCTGGTTGCAATTACATTTTTTCAACTTTATATTTAAGCTTGTAACTGACATTTATGCAATACAATAAAGTAAATGCAGAATAAACACAAAGAATGTATCCTTAAATTCAAAGAGAATTTGAATAGATTTCTTGAATCTTTTAACACAGGTTCTCTCCTGTGAAATACATCTTTTTAAAAAACCTATATACTGATAGGTAAGTATACACTAATATATAACATATACTAGTGCTATCAAACAATTAAAATGTTTAATCAGATTCATCACAGGGTTACAGTGGATTAATTTTGATTAATCACAATTTAAATCACAATTAATATTTTTATTCTGTCGACACTTTATTCACCTTTAGTCACTTACAGTTATTTACTCACGTATTCAGTCAATGTAATTTTAAAACTGTGTATATATGTCCTTATTTTTAGCATCATGCTGCTCTGTTGTATCTTAATTGCCCCTTGGGGATAAATAAAGTCTCTCTGATTCTGAGTAAATATCCTTCATTTTTATTCTATATTAATCTAATTTCATTTTGCATGAGCAAACAGACTCGAGAAAAAAGGGAAAATATACGCACTTAACATGTTTATTGAACATCTCGAACATTCATGTTAACAAAATGTATCCACTCTCTCTCTCTGTCACTCTTGGGGAGGCGCTTCAAGTCCTTGAAACCAAAGCTTTTTAAAGCGCGTATTCTCAACAATAATTAATAGGTCAGTAGTTTGTTGCAATCCACTTGGCAATTGTGTCAGTCAATATGTCAGAGATAGACTTACTGAGTCCCCGATGCTCCGTGAGTGGTTTGTGGCAAGCTGGCTGACACTTTAGCCAAAGTCCGAGCAGCATTCCCGATTAATGTGTGCTTCGCGTCAATGTGATATTTTAAGCTGGAAGTGCTTTGATGAAAAGAAAATTCCTTCTTGCACAATGTGCATAATACTTTATGTCGGTCGACTGTTCTGTCTTGTTATTTTTTTAATACTCAAATTTCCCGTCGATAGGGCAAATGTGCATTTATCATCTTCCATATTGAGTTGATTGTTTCAGCTGCCCGTCACTACCAGATCTACTGCCCATTTGCGCACGTGCGAGGCTAACTCTACTTGGACATTGTAATCGCGTTGACCGTAATGGCAGATTAGTTTACGTTAACACGTTAATTTTGACAGCACTAGTATATACTATCAAAAAGGCATGAGACCTGTGCGTTAGAGGTTTTGGCTAATCTTTTAAGACAAATTACTTACACCACTGTTGTATAGGCAGCGTAAATTGTCCACATAATGCTAGACAGGTCCAGGCTCTTATGTCACCTCTGGACAACTCACCAACATATGTGTGAAGTGGGTGCGAATGTGAGTCAACAAATAACTGTAGTAGGGCACACTGGGAAAGCTGGTGAGAGGGGAGATCAATCTGAGTTTTATGAAGTGTGTCTCCCGGTGCGCAAATAATCTGCAGGAGTGTCAACAGAAATCTCTGAGCACAGATTGCCTCCGAAAATAACAAAAAACAAACTGAGCTACTGTTTATACATAACTGAGGCTCAGGACCTGTGAAATTTGTGCTTCCAATTGTTTGGGACAGTCATTACCGCAGTTATATTGAAGTATTATGCACATATACTTATGTACACACATATCTTGCTCGCTTTATGGAGAAGTTCATGTCATATTTTGCACCTGCTTCCCTCCCTCCTGAAACTGTCCATGGTGCTGATTTTGTTTTTCTACTTGTTTTAATGATGAATATACCTCTTCCAAAGCACGTGTAAAGAGTACACAGGTGGAAAGACTTACTGAGTCTGATTGTAGACCTTTTATAAAAGAGTATAGCCATGAACAATAACTGTATAAGAAGACCTGGAAAGTAATAGCCTAGTTTATAGAAAGCACATTATTAAACTTGGGCTTTGGCCAAGAAAGCCCGTGAAAAATAAGTAAGGTTGCTTAAATTAACGGGCAAATCGAAGTGCTTTTAACCAATTGTTGCCTACTGTCCTAGAAAATATGCAGTTGTGTCTGAGTTATTACCAACCTAAAGTGGCTGTAAATACACATTGAGTCATTTATGGATACTTTTAGTATTTCGACAGTATTTTTTTTACTGTATTTACTACCTGCTTACTATTAGTAGAAATATAATGTCAGACACACACACACACACACATACAGGTTTGTCATGCCCTATAAAGATAATGCATAGTCCCTATATAGTGTTTTTATTTGTGTCAGGATTTTTATGTCTGAAAGTTCTTGCATTTCAAATGTTGAGTGGCAACATAGTAACAGAATCAAGCTTAGTGTATTTGAATGGGAACCTTCTTTGTCTTTACAAATGTTTATGGCTTTATATTAGGAGGGGGGTTGTGTATTCCTCCCGTGAATATAATAAGAAATTTGAAGTTAGGACCAAGAGGAACGCGGATCATTAAAGAGGGGCTGCGTGGATCATGTCAGTATCTGTTTGCCTGTCTCCCACACAAACCTTTTTTATTACATGTTGACATGAATTTCACCTTCATCTGTCTGTTTTTCTTTTTCTCCATAGTTACTTAGACAACACTGCTTAAGTGTGTTTGATCTCAAGGTATTGCAATTATTCTTACTTGGAAGTTATTATGAGCAAGATCAAACATTCTCAATTTGTTTTTGATTGCAGAGATTAGTTAAAGTGAACTTTGTTTCCAAGGAAAATAAACAAAATTAATAAAAGTCTTAAACGAAATGTAAAAGTTATTTGTGAACTAAACCAGCCTTTGTGTTTGTGAGGGTTTTATTGAACATGTCAGCTCAAAGGAAGCTCGCTGTACTGGAAAGACGAAAAGGCCTCATACGCGAAGGGATATCTAGATGCTGTTTAAGAGATTTTATGGCATTCACTCAGCCTCTGCATTTCTGTAGTGAAATGTCAAAACAGTCTACACTTACTTACTTCTCAAGCATACTGCTTGTACAAAGCTCTTTATCATGCACTTTTCTTTCAACCGTTCACACAAACACTGACACACCAATTACAGCAGAGAAACTTGGAGTTCCGTATTTTACCCAAGGACACTTGAATGAATTTAGAATAAACTTTTTACTGTTTTACTGCATCTGTGGTTTTGTGTATGGCCTTCCGGGGCCTGGCCACACAGCCCAAGAAAGACATCCACAAAGCAACTTTAGTGCAGATTATGCTAATAACCACATCTCACCAACACACACCTTCTTACTTTTTAAGGAAGTGGTGTTAAAAAGCAATTCATGACAAGATTGCGTAAAAGAGTTTAGTGAAATCACCCAGGAAGTCTCTTTGCTGAAAATATAGAGGGGGTTTAGGATAAGAGAGCAAAGATGCTTTTACAGTTATTTGTTCTTATGTATGTTTTCACTATTACCCAAAAATAAAGTAAATCTAAGAATTCTTCAGTCCATCACACTTTTACTCCAATCCTTTCATTTTAACTCTCCTTCCACATCTCTCCCCCTCTCTGTGCCCTTCCGAGCATTAGCATTCCTTGGGCATGTATTGTGTACAATAGGATACACTGCAAAAGGGCTGATAACCAACAACAATCCCAGAATCATTTGTGCACATTCGCACTGCTGTCACACACTGTTAGCGAGACAGAATACAGAAGTGAGAGAACAATTGCTGGGGAGAATCGTGTACCTCTTTGTCAGTAAGGCGCACAAACCACAGATTTGGAGACAAAAAAGAAGAAGGAAAAGATAGAGATTAGATGAAAAGTTTATTGCTCAGAGTTATGTGAAACAAGAAGCAGAAAAAGTAGGAAACGGCATAACTCTTGCCAGCAGAGCTTCACAGATTTCATTTAGCCTTAGGTGATGCAAATAAGATTTCCTCTTCTGTTTAGAAACTGTTAGCATAGGTGAGAATATTTTTTAGAAAGGAATTAGCTCAAGGAAAAGCATGGTCTGAAGATTAGCTTTCAACCATTTAGATAATCTGTATAAAGACATAGAAAGATATCTTGGCTTCTCTTTGTATTATGATTATGATAAATTCAAACTATTCCAGTATACAGTTGTATATTGTGATGAAGAAAAGATTAAGGTTACATTATATTAATTTGGCCATTTTAAAGAGAGATTTTTCTTGGCTTATAACAGTTCCTTGCAGGGGTGATGGGGCATTTAACAAGCAACAAGTCTCTGTTACCTTGTTGGCGAAATTGCTACATTTGCCTGTTATTTTGGACTATTTTAATACAGCGATTATTGCCCTTTGGCTCTTGATGAACCTTAAGACCCGAAAATTGACTAATTTACTTATTTAAGTTGCAAATGCAGATTGCATCTGTGGTTCATTTCTGGACTTTGTCATTCTTTAAAACATTTCATTTCCCTACATATATCACTGTTATCCCATTAATTTGCATTATTTTCCCAGAGACCGTGTTTACTTCTTTTTGACTCTGTTAGTGTAAATGTTTTATCTCTGTCCTTTCAGGCATGTCGCTATGGCCATGTGCAGCATTTGGAACACCTGCTATTCTATGGAGCCGACATGAGTGCTCAAAATGCATCTGGAAACACGGCTCTGCATGTGTGTGCGCTCTACAACCAGGTACAAACACTTGTTTCAGGAAAAACATAAATAACATTTATGGACTATTTGCTTGGAGAATGAAGGGAATTGCATTTGTGTTGTAGCCCTGTGCGTTACACAGTTTACATCCAGTGTAGATGTTTAGTGCCAGTACAGCAGAGAAATGTCACATTCAGTAGCAGGGTGAAAAATCAAGGACATGGTGGTTAATGGCTCTTTGATGCATTTACATTATACGACAGGCACCAGAGCTAGCTTCTCAGCTGAGTGTGTTGGCTTTCTTAATACGCTTTAGACTAGTGATTTTTGTTGTCTAAAAAAACTAAAATTATACATAAATATTCTATTAGGAATAACTCAAAAATCTTGCACTGTACATCTGTTGTCTGTGAAGTAGGTCTGAGAAATCCTGCATGTGCACAATCCTTTATTGGACTTCATTGTAATGTTTTTCATATCGGTAAATACTCAATAACCCATAAGGATGAAGTAAACAAATATATGCATAAAACAAAAGAAAATTTATTTACAAAGGATTTCAGATCTTTTCAGACACTTGGGAGCCAGTGCATTCTTGAGTCTTCTTGGTTAAGCCTCTACAGGCTTTACACACCTGGATTTGGTCAGTTTATTTTAATCTTCCTGACAGATCCTCTCAAGCTCCATTTGCCCTTTGGCTGCACCAGTCACAGTCAGAAACTTGTCCTGAAGCCATTTCATTGTTGTCTTGATCTTTTACTAATTGATAGAGTTCTGTTATCCTTTCAACTGCCCCAGTCTCTGTAGAGGACTTCTAAACCTCATTTAGGGCAACTACTGGGTTTTTGGTTGACTCCTTGACTGTGACCCTTCCTCTAAGCTACTCAGTTTGTCTAGGAATATGCTGCAGGATCCAGGCTTAATCTTTTTTCCGATTTATTGAGGGCTTTGTGGAAGAATCAAAGGATAAGATATATCCTTGCTCTGATCAGTGCCTTATTTACCAGTGTGTGAACTGTGGTACCTTTACAAAAACAGGGTCTCCTTTTCTATACTGTACCCTACTAGCTGAATACCATAAAGCATGCAAAAGGTGAAGGATTTGAATACTCTGACGATATATTCTTTCAGTGTAAGTATTTGTCTATGCCTGTTTTCCACGAATAGTAGAAGCAATGATTGTGCTACAGCACTGAACGCTGTGCCACTCAACTTTCTTGGTCAAGGACATATATTAAGCTCAGAGACTCCAGGGATGTTACTTACAGTGTCTGTAAAGTTACAGAACAGCCACCACGCTGCATCGAGTGTTTGTGTGTGTTTCATAACGTCGACGGATTCATAACGTCGAAACCACAGGAATAATCCACCTGGCAATTTTCTCCATTGTATGAATTTTGATGCCAGGCTAAAAAGGCCAACTGAAGAGAATTGGTCTAAGTGTGGTTGTGCCACTGAAGTGAGCAACAATTAGAGATATTTTATCAGTTGTGGGTTACTAATACAGTTTGCATTAAAGTATGCACCAGGCAGGGATAGAATGTAATTTAATTCTTGATGCTTTGCAGATTGTGTTTCTAAACAAAGATGCATTTGAGCCTGCTTATAATTGCCATACAGCTTCCATGCCCCGTCTATTGCTCTTAACGCTAAGCCCACGTTTCTCATACTGAAGATGTCAGTGCAGCGCATATAAACATGCCATTCACTTCTTTTGGTATACCTTGCTGGCATTGGGTTGGACTTTTGCCTTCACAGCAGTTTTAATTCTTTGTGGTGTAGATTCAATAAGGTGCTAGAAACATTTTCTCAGTGATTACTACTGCCATGATAGCATCACACAGTTGCTGCAAATTTACTGCATATCCGTCCTGTGAATCTCCCTTTTCAGGCTTTTTGAATACAGTGAACACATTGTCACATTCAAGAAACCAGTCGGATATTATCTGAGCTTTGTGAGACGGTTCGTTACCTTGCTGGAAGCAGCCTTTAGAAGATAGGTGTGGTCATACATGCATAGGGATGGACATGGTTCAGGCAGACTGATGTATTTAAACAGTGCTTATTTGGTGATGTTTATTTTCCAATCTTCTGTTGGCTCCATTTCCTGTTTTTCAAGGAAAAGGTTTTCAAGGTTTTTCGTGTTATAACAAGTGGATTTTGAGTCGCCTTCTGACCAACTCAGAGGAATCATTCTCCTCTGACCAGCATTAACAAGAGATTTTTGCACTGCACTGATGCTCAATTTAAACTTCAGCTGGTCATCTTGACTATGTCTAAATGACTAAGTGCAATGTACTGCTGAAATTTGATTGGCTGAGCAGTTATAATGTGTCCGGTGAGTACGTATTCATAGATTGTTTAATTTTTAGAATAAAACTTTGTCTGACAGACTAGGCATTATATACTTATTTAGCAAATCTTACTCAAACAGTAAATGGTGCATGTAGGGCACTATTTCCCACTTCGGGTTTGCACGCATTAAATATTTATGGCAGGAGAATTGTGTACCAGTTTTAAATACGCTACAGTTTCCATTCCCGTGTTAATAAATATCACCCAGTCTAATTTCACTGTTTCCAACATTTTCAGATAATTGAAAACTTTTATCAGGCTATAGTACGATAGTAAATACTTGTTTATAGAATTAGTTTGTATTTTGTTCTGGTGAAACCAAACCGAAAAAAACAAAACAAAACTGCACAAATCCAAGTATAAATCTGTGAATACGTGCCTACCAGCTTTCATAGTGCCAGATGGCTGTGAGTCTTAGTGAGTTTGACATCCGTGTAATCTACAAGAAAATCTGCATGTAGCTTCAAATCTAGATATAGTAGCTTCAAATAAAACAATATTTTAATAACAATAATAATAATATTAATAATAATGAGGATAAATGCTTGATGTTAACGTGCAGTATTTCGTAATATGAATGAACAAAAAGTAGATTAGGGTAGTGGGAGATGAGGGCAGTATAAACCAGAATTCTCCTGAGCAAACCATGTAGATGTAGAGCAGCCAGGTGCTTTTTGGTTTAACCCCATGAAGCCTGAACCTTGAAAATTCTAATTTTTGAAAATGGAGAGTTTATTGAACCATCTGACAAATTTGTTTTAAATAAAATTAATGAAATTGGAATTTCCGTGAATGACTTTTGAATTGTATTGTATTCGCTACATCTGGCTGTGCAATTTATTTTGTTTTTTCAGGGGGTAAAAATCACACTGATGATGTAGAAGTGTCAAAGAACTGCATGTATTAAATGTGATACACTAGGCTAGGTTAAGGCTTCTCAAAGAGAAGATGCTTTTGTGCAGCTTTGCTGGGAAGCAGAGATTTGATTAACATTAAATAAGTGCTTTCTCCTCTCGCTTTCTCTCTCCCAAATGAACTGAAACGTGTGTGTTTGTGTGTGTTGGAATGTTGTGGTTTAACTTAGTGCTGCACAGCTAATTTCAGTCGTGATGATCAACATCACATTATCTGTGTGTGTGTGTGTGTGTGTGTGTGTGGTGAACACAGTATAAATACTTAATACTTATTGTTTGTAACACATTCGTGTGATTTAAGGCACTTCATGTTCACTGCTCAGAAGAGTGTGTGTAATGTATTACTCATGTAGTGGGAACATGGACCTGTTTACACAATTACATTGTCACGGTCTCTCTTTTTAGACCAGGAAATTCCCAAAACATCAATCATTAAAATTTAGTATGAAAAAAAAATAGTATGAAGACTTGGTTTGAGGTTTAGATCTTTACCTTTGCTCTGAATTAGAGGTATCATCCATCCATTTTCTCCTACTTAACCATTTCAGGGTTGCGTGGAGTAGGGGGCTTGAAGCCTATTCCAGCTATCACTAGATTTAATGCACCCATTTTTATATCTATCGTTTGTCTTATTTTTCCAGCGTTTTTCTTCTTTCAGCAGTGAAAATGTCACGTAGCTGGTCACTGTTCTTTAAAAGGTCTAAATAAAAAAGCAATATCTTGACCTAAGCTTGTGTAATTTAAGGGCCGGTGACTTGAAGATTTTAATTGTATGAAGGTGGTATTTTGCATGGCCGCACTAAATATGCAGGAATGATTATGGGATACAGTAATTCTCAATCTGTGACCACAAATGTATTCCAACGTCATTCCTACTTTGCACCTTAACTATGAGAGTGGACTTTTTTTTCTTCTTTATTTTTTTCATCACTTCAAAAAAAAAAATCAAGGTATAAACTTAACAGTGGTTTTGAAGAATTACACCACTAGCAAACAGTAGTTAGCTATATTTTCAGGAAAATATTGCCAGTATAAAATCCTCTGAACTGATTGAAACTCATGTGTGCCTGCTTTTTTTGCAGCCACAGACAGACTGGGTAAATAGTTTAATTTACAGTTACTTGTGCAACTTTCTTTTTCTGCAACTTTAAAGTCTTTAGTTTTGTAATGGATCTTGTCCAAGCTCTTGTGATGAGGACTGCTGTTATCCTGCCACTCGAGACGAATACGACGTTGAGCTGATCAATCCCAGGAAAATTGTGTCGAAGGGGGGTTCAGAAGGCCAAAAGCAGGCCTACATGAATGCTTATGTGCAATAAAAGTAAGAAATGCACTGCTACAATCAACTGGGAAACCAGTTGTTCTAATGTCAATAGATCCATTTAGTGGGCTTTCAGCTTGGCAGAAGCAGTGAATGAAGGCAGGGCTCACATGCTTAGGAGGTCATGGGTTTAATGATTTAGAAGGGACAAAGTACTGTAGAAAATGGCAACACTGATGAGTGAAATTAAACAGAGGCTGTGCAAGACACAAACGGATCTATCCAAAGCAGTCAGACCAATGATATCCTGCTAGACCGTTAATTATTATATTGTTGTTGCACAGTAGAATAACATATTAGCTTGATATAAATGTTTCAATTTTAAATCCTCTTTGATGTTAATCACAAACAACTGTAAAAGCATGCTCACTTTTCAGTGAAGGATGCCAGATCTGCTGCTTCAATTTTAAGGGCAAAAGGAATCCTCAAATGTATAAACATGTCTGTTAGAGGAACCATCTGTCACACTTTTTACACATGACTGACCTGATCGTTAGTGAAGAGTACTTGATCTAAATCACTTCTGTTTGTATGTCTATGAATCTAAAATAATCACATCTAACAAACAGCAGTGAGAACTGGATTATGGATTATTGTAGGAAGACTTGCAGAGAAGAGGAACACATGTGGTCCACATTGTAATTAGACTGTGTGTGTGTGCGTGCCTGTGCATGTGCATAATGACTTTAGGTTAATTAGAACACACGTTTGAGTCAAGACACATACTCAAGGTTAATACCAATATAACATGCATGTTTACCTTGCAGGTTAAATGCCAAAGTTGCATTAATAAGCAATAATTAATAATGCTAAAGTTCAGGTCCACCTGGTCTGTGTGACAGACACTTATTATCGCTGCTTTCTATCTCCTTATAGAGACTGCTTGGAAAAGTTTTGAAACTTTTGAACTAGCCTGGCCTTGTTGTGTCATTGCTAGAAAGAAAGACTGCGGTGCGCGTTATACTCTAAACGACCTTCACATAGTCTTTGTATCTTCCTCTGTTCTTTCACTTGTAGCATTCCTCTCTAACCTTGATATATATTCTCCATTCTTCTCTGTTGTCACACCAAAGAGATGATGGAAATATATTTGTACATTTTTCATATGCACTCGAAGGCCTGCGTGAATGAAAACCTGTACCCATTTAGCGTTCTCGAAGAATGATGATTATGAGGCTTTACACTGAAAAATGTCTGCGTTTATTTACCTGTGTATGTGTGTGTGTGTATCTGTGTGTGTGCAGCTGCCTGAGGTATGGGTGATTAGCATTACTTAATCTAATAGCCATAGGCATTTATCTATATAGCTTTTTTGGCAATTTTAGCCTCAAGTGTGTTTTAGATATTAGCATAAAGAGTAATCATATATTATGCATATAACACTCGCTCTATTTTTAAATATACTCGGTGTATTCACCATCAGTGTTTACAGAGACTTTTCCTATTTCTTTGTGTTTCACCTGGCGTCATGCCTAATATACAGCCGTACTCAAATGAGTACATTTAGCAATATCAGCCAGAAAGTGTGGAAGCTCCAGTAAATATAGTAAACAAAAAGTTGTTGCACAAATACTTGTGGCATGACATTTTGTAGGTGGTTTGAAAAAGTATTTAACATAATATATAGCTTGTTTGAAAAGCAACAGATTAAAGGTGTGATCCATCACATCCCCCGCCAATACTAGCATCTGTGTTTTACCAGAAGAGGGTGCTCCAGTGCATACAGGAGTGGATCATCTGCTATAAACAGCCTGAAGAGTAAAACCACATGGATGTATTAACTGAACAACAGAATAAATGAATCTGGGCATGCATGTTCCTGAATGTGTGTGACTCACTAAGAGTCACTAGAGTCACTTTGCTGATTTTAGTGAAAGGTTAGTCCTATTAATTCTGCTCTCTGTGTTAAATTACATATCGACCCTCAACCAGCCAGCACATGGACACACAATCCTGTCAATTTACAGCTGGGCTTTCTTGCCTAGGGGTGTGTACTCATTTACACACAGTATGTCACACTAGTTCTACACAGAGTAAAACAGAAACTTGTTGTTGTGAACTAATCAGGAAGTCTGTTCTGTAATTGTTAAGATTCCTTCCTCTTTTTCTTCTTCTCCTTCTTTTAATTATTATTAAATTAAGCCCATGTTTTTTATACCCACACTTTTTGAATTCGAATTAATCTGTTGCTTTTCAAACAAGCTATATATTATGTTAAATACCTTTTCAAACCACCTACAAAATGTCATGCCACAAGTATTTGTGCGACAACTTTTTTTTTACTATATTTACTGGAGCTTTCACACTTTCTGGCTGATATTGCTAAATGTACTCATTTGAGTACATTTGAGTCCAAAGACATGTGTGTAGCGCAGCCAGACACAGTGCAATTAGTAAATTCAATATGTACTAAACATTTGCTTAGATGGAAACGTCCAAGACGTAATACACAAAGTCATAAAAATTATTATTTACTGAAGCATTTACAAAGTGGAAACATTTATATAGAAATACAGTATGTAAAGTTTGTACAATTAAAACATACATGAAAGTCAGTATTTGGTATGACAACCTTTATTCTTGAGCACGGCCTATATCTTGTAATTTTTTTAACTAAACTTCAGAAATGGTTCTCCAGGTTTTTTAAACTGTACTTCTCTTCTCTGGAGTTTGGCTGTCTTTTGTTCCATTCTCTGCCAAGATGACCTCACACTGCTTTAATAATGTTGAGATCCTTGCTCATTTTCTGTCAAAGTTAGATTCATCCCTCCATGTTGCCACTGATTTTTAGTCCGGTTCTTGTGTAATTTGCCAACTCTTTGCCCTTTCTGCCTTATTTCCTTCCTTAACAATGGCTTCTTGAAAGCTACCCTTCCATTGAGACCATTTCTGATGAGGGCTCACTGAACAGAAAATCCATCAACTGAAGGACCAGATGCTTCTCTCATGTTCTGTTTCAGACTTTGTTGGATTTGTTTTCTTTTTCTTTCTTTTTTTCTTTTCTTTTTAAAGATAGGACCTTCAGATACTGTAGTTTCCACGCCAAGATATGTTAAGTTTCTATTAGTGGTTTTAAAATCACTGTCTTAGTGCAAATATACAAATTATCTGTCTGGCATTTTTAGTAGATTTGCTGAATAAATGGGAACAAATGACTTGACAGTAAAGTGCCTAAACATACAATTTGAAATTGGGTCTTTGCTAAGTTGGCTGTTACATGTAGACACATTTATACTTAAATGTTTCATAGGTTAGTGTTAAGTTGCTTAACAAGCAAACAAACAAGCAAAAAAAAAATGCAAATATTCCTCTGAAAATGCTCAGGACTGGACTGAAAAAAGCAATCAGTGTCCAAATAAAGCCTTTGAAGGCCTTCGAATCATCTTAAAAACTATTGCACAAAAGCAGTAAAAAAAAAATACAAGAAAGTCTAGAAAAAATGTTGCCTTGTACTGTATCACTGCAATGATGTGGATATAGGTGGGGATTATTTCACATATTGTGGAAACATGAATCTGTATGCACAGTCACACTATGAGGACCTGTCTGTCTTGGGTTTTAAAAGCCATAATGTAGATCAAGAAAATTTGGAGTGAAGCCTTAGTGTCAGGGCTAGACTAGTAGCAGTTATGGTTAAGGTTACTGTATGTCTATAGGAATAGTGTAAGCCTTCTGAAGTGGGAACACGGCATATGTCTGTGGCTAACTTCTCTTTGTACTTTAGATCATATTTTTGTTTAGATTCAACCTGCAGCAGTTAAAGTGTTCTTCCACCAACGCTTCTCGTCATGAAATAGTGCCTTAGTTGTCAAAAACTCATTGAATTCAAACATGCCTGCCTTGTATTTTTTTAAAAGTACCTCATGGAACGGGCTTCTTCCTGAATTCACAAATTCATGTTTTAGCCACAGGCGTTTCTCAAGAGACATTCTTGTTCTTTTTTTACACTGTCACCTCTGTCAGACTCATTTTCAAACAGTTTTGTAAGTCTGTTTCTTTTAGAAGTGATCAAAGAGGTTGCTTGTAATGCTGCCTCTGGCAACCACTGTCATGCTGCATAGCACACAAATTATTATACTCCTCTTGATATTTGACTTTCTAAAACCATGTCCGAATTGTTACAAAGTTTTTCCTAGTAAATTTAAAATAATTCATCTTGCCTCCATGGTGTGATGTGCTTTTCTTGGTCGTCCTTTTTCAGTAGCATGTGATGTTAGAAAACAGATTCTGGAGACATACAATTTTCTTTGGCCCATCGCTGATACGCCCATTAATAGCTGCACTGGTTAACAGACGAGGAGTTAATTTTAGGTGCACTTTGTCTGATCTGACATTCAGAAAACTATTTTTACTAATGCAGACAGTAGATGTGAAGCAATTCGTTAAACATGACTTATACTTCTTAAACTGTCCGTGTCTAATTGAGAGGACAATTAGAAGCTGCAAAACAACATCCATAAGTGCTCCAAAGAATCACATATGTAAGTGATTGCTGTGTCTATCTAGAATCTGTGTTTGGGAGTCATCATGTGTATTTGTTTGCATATCTGTATGCTGTTGCATACAATAGAATGAAGGACAGTGACATGTAATACTCCTATAGGTAAACACACACAACTCTCTGTTGTCCTTCAGGAGAGCTGTGCACGGGTTCTCCTGTTCCGGGGAGCCAATAAAGAGATAAAGAACTACAATAGCCAGACTGCTTTTCAGGTATGTGAGGTATACAAAAGGTTTACACACTAGTACATCACAGCTAAATTAACTGAAATATGCAACCTGATGTTGGAGTCCAGCCTTTATAGCTGATGAAGCAGAAAATTGATACTGACATACTGACATTTGTTTTATGCACATCAAATATAATTTGCTTGTACATAATGGAGGTTGGTCAGTGTAGCGCTATACAGATTTTTACACAATCTCCTTCAACAAAGTGTTGAAAGTGTTGAATATTTAGTGAAAAAGTTAGGACGGAAATGTTTTTTCATGTTGTTCCTTTCCACTCCCTGTACGTTTCTCTGTTCCCATTTCCAGGTGGCTATTATAGCTGGGAACTTTGACCTGGCAGAAATCGTTAAGGTCCACAAAGCATCAGATGTTGGTAAGTTGACAGAGTGAACTTGGGGTTCCCAGGGTATTTAAAAGTACAATCTGAGGCACAGCCTTCAGCTTTCAGGCTTTCTGTGGAACCAGTTTGGATTTGGGAGACAGGCACTGTCTCTACTCTTAAAATTAGGCTCAAAAATTTCCTTTTTGATGAAACTTACAGTTAGGGCTGGATCAGGTGACTTTGAATCCTCCTCTAGTTACATTGCGAAAGGCCTAGGGTGTAGGGGGCTTGCCATGATGCACTAAGTGTTACTTCTTCACTCATCTTTTTTCACTCACTACACCAATCTGCATTTAAGTTATTAATGATTATTAAACTCAGGCTCTCTTCTATAGTGTGTCTTTTGTCCGATCTCCTTACCCTCACCCCTTACCAGTCATGGCAGATGACTGCTCCTCCCTGATCCTGGTTCTGCTTGCAGTTTCTACTTGTTAAAAGGGAGTTTTTCCTTCCCACTGTTGCCAGGTGCCTGCTCATAGAGGGTCGTCTGATTTCTGTATTAATGTGGGCTTTTCCTTACAATACAGAGCGCAGAATTGAGTGAATAGAATTGAATTGAATTAAGTGAAGGTAGACTTGGAGAGGCATCAAGCTCGACCTAGATAGCGAAGGAGGTCACGGAAAGTGATTATAATTTAAATACAGTGGAAAATACAAAGAAGAAAAAGTGAAAGAGATGAAAATGTAACAGAACTGGAAAATGTTCCTGAGGATTATTGGATCCCTGCTGAGTTTAGTAGTTTCTCTCTCTGAAATAAAGTACAGGAAAACTCTGCCATCTGGTGTGAGCAGGATGTAATGCCTCACTCTCGTCATAAAGGCATTGTGTCTCTTCTTACATTCAGCATGCTGAAATAGAAATTACAGTGAACTTCGTAACAAATTGCATTTTTTTGCAAACAAATTCCAAAAAGTCCAGTGATCCCTTTCTATATACTTTTTTATCTTATTCTGTATTTGATCCTTCAAAGTTAAAATATGGTAATTGCTAAGATTTATAAGCCACTTCAGTGGATTAGGAAATCCATCTTAAGGTTTTACTGAAATGCCAACAGTGTATAATTATGTGTAATTTTTCTTCTTAGTGCCTTTCAGGGAGACTCCCTCCTACACCAACCGTCGACGTGTGATGCCTGGCCCCCTGCCTTCACCCCGTTCCTTACTTCGCTCTGCAAGCGACAACAACCTGAACGGGGACCACGATCACATCCATGCTCAACCAACCAGAGAAGCCCGTGGCCGCCAGGGTCACTCCCCCGTCCCTTCACTACGCAGTCTGCCTGCTTTTGGGCAACAGCACAGCAGCCTTGGAGAAGTAAGCGAAGTCGCGCAGATATGAAATGTAAACCTAAAAAAAATGAATGCATTCATAAGAAAGAGTGAAGGAGTAAAAGAGAAGGATGATCTCAGGGAAGGTGATTGATGTTTTACACATGTCTTATATCAGAGTCGTCATGGAGAGATCCCTGACAGCAGTCTCCAGAGTACTGGCAGCTCCAGATCCTCCCATTCCCGTTCACCGTCTCTACATCACATGCATGAAGATGACAAACCAGTTCCTAGACGGTCCCACAGCCACGGCTACCCTCATGGGCATGGCCCTCGTGGAAGACTCAGGTTTGTAATAACCTGCGTTCAGTTGCGTTTTTTTTACTCAACTTAGCAGAGAGCTTCATAAAAAAAGTGAATCTGTTTTTATTTCCTGTTTCTAATTCATGTCTCACATTTGTCAGTCTTGGCAGCTATTCACTTAAGTACATCATTTTTATTGCCCTTGTGATTTTGCTAGCTACTTTGATTTTTAAACCTAATTTCAGAGAGCAAAGGGCCCCATGTGATGTGTCTGAATCACTTGTTAGTCACCAGGCAGCCTTCTGCATCCTATTCCATCTGCTACAGTCTGCTGCTTGTGATAATCATGACATAATATCAGTCAGTACAGAATCTTGTTTATTCATTCAGGCTTTGACATGTGAAAGTCCACCCTGGCTACAAAACTGTGTATTGGATCTAAAAATGTATGTTAATAATGTGGTAGTGACAGATTGAAATACAGATCGGTATCGGTTCCATTTGGCGTAGCTGTTGGGTGGCCCATGGGTTGTAAGGGTGCTTTGGTATGATCAGTGACATGATGAGTGTTAGGCATAAATAAAAACCCTGTTTATGTAACAAGCCCATCTGCGGTATCGTGCTGGAATCACAAATAACATACTTCAGATGTGGTATATGTAATCGTACGTGGAGACACAACCACGTGCACAGGTCAGAGACAGACAGATGGAAAGGGACTAATAATTATCACCACCGGGACCAATTGACAGCTGCCAATGTGTGTTTGTTCAGATGTTGGGTTGTGTGACAGATACTGAGAGACAGTGGTGACATTCTGAAGCTACATCTCTGAGTAATGTCACGTAGTTGATAGATAAATACAGCAGATGAACTGGTGCTGCAGGATGCTGGGACGAATTTCTTCCCCTCTGAACCACCAGACAAACTGCACAGTAAACTAGAGCTCTGATCACATCTTGAACCAAAAGATTAAACTGGTTTGCAGACACTTGTTAAGCTTTTTATTATGGTCATATATCAGCACAAGATCACCTACATAGAGCGCCCACCTAATGTGTTTCCGCGATGCCGCACGCTCTGTGCAAATGTACGTGTGTTTGTGTGAAACAGCTTGATGTCTGTCAAGGGAATTGCATTACGGACACAGCTCCAGCCGTACTCCTCTCTCCTCTAATACTCTCTTGTCACTTTACTCCATCCATCAAAGAGACTCACACGCGCACGTTCACAGGCGCTCACGTTTTTTACCTCATTTTCTGTCATTAACACACAAACACGCAAACACTGCTCCATAGTCTTGTCATCCGTCTGCAGTTTGCAGCCAGAGAACATTCAGCATAATCTGCTAAATCATATAAAAGACTTGCACGCATCACTAAACACTAAAACTCTAGAGTCTAAAGTGTATGCACTAAGTGTACCACAATCAAATAAAATGAAACAAATGAAGTGGAATACATGAAGTAAATTTAGTTAATTTAAAAAAAAGTCTCCCCGCATCGTTAATGTACCTTCCACTCTTTCTGTGAAGCATGTTATGTCCAATAATGATAGCAAAGTAAGTGCGTCCTTTTCTACTATATCTGGTGCTGCGTTGGCGTGAACAGTCACTGACAGAGATATACATCTTTTGCTGTTGTCGTCACTGTGCACAAGGCTTACATAAAGTGACACAAAAGGCAGAACGATGAAAGTAAAGAAAAATGAAATATCGCAGTCTTTTGTACACAAAACGTTGAGACCTTTTTTTTTTTAGTGTGCCATGGATTAAAGTGAGAATGTATAAAAAGCCTAAAACGAGCAGCTGGTCTCCATGGCCAGAATCTGCACCCAAGTGAGACTGATGCTGTCCTTGGATATTTTTTTCTGTAATATTTCTCCCTCCCTCTCTCCGTTTCACTCTCTGACCTTCTGTTTATGCCTGTGGTAACTCTAGAGGCATTATGGGTGCCAGGGGAGTGTGAAATTAGTTGGCCAGTCAACAGCCAACTCTAGCAGGTTCCTGTGGAACTCACCATCACTTCCTCCTCCTCACGTGTGTGCAGTGTTGCCAGGATTTGGCTACCCTTCAGCTAAAGGTTTAGATGGAGACAATAGAAAGGGTAAACAGGTTAGACTTCTGTTTTTTAATTTAAAGATCAAAATCTAACAATAATCAAAGCTGTGGCTACGATTTTCACTCCAACTCCAACTGATGTAGTAGACAGTATGATTAGACATGATTCATGATGTTAATATGATAATATGGCACAGTTTTATCGGGACAAAGCAAATTTGGCTCTGTCGTAAAAGGTTAATTGGCTACTTGCCGTAATGGGCTGACAACACAAAGATATAATTAATCATCAAGAATGGAGCATTGTCTCGTCAGTGTCATTGTCAGAAATTGTGATGTTGAACTGTGCACCTGAGCTCTCAGTTATTTGTCTGGGTTTGTAAGAAAGATTTCAAGCAGCCAGATAGACACTTTGTGATGTTGTTGAGCAATAGATACAATATTTGATCTTTTGTATCCAACTTTCCCCACAGTTGCAGTAGGGAAATATTTCGTCAGTATTTATTTAGAAGTGTATGTATATGAGATGCCCTCTGACCAGGGTACATTAAATAAGAGATGAAGCTGTTCAGTTTTTCGGAGCCAAGTTAGTTTTTTTTAAACTCAGCCAGCACAGGCTCCGTTAGATCGTTGCTTGGGCTGTTGGTTGTTTCCGTCCTTTTTTTTCTCAACTCACGGGAGGCTAGGGGACAGTTTATTTTAAATAAAAATTCAGTCACACAACATTGCCAATAGTTAATGAGAAAGAATAGGCCTCATTTCCCTGCTGATATACTGTACAATGACCATTATGTTACAAATAAAAGTGAGAGGTGTGCTGCTCCCTTCAACTTTGAATTACTTGTTCTTTTACTGTTCTCCTCACCTCTTTTTCAACTTCTATCCTTCCTTTCTATGCATTAGTCACACCAGACACTGGCGGTGTGAAGATTATTCATGGCACCTCAACACGGCCATAGGCCCGAGGTATGCATAGAGGACAGGAAAAGGGTAGAGAAACAAAAAGGAGAAAAAGGAGTGTTGAGCTTGCTCTGCTTTACCTGCGGAAAATTCATACATCAAAGAAGGACACAGGGGAGAGGGACTGATCTTTTAGAGTAATCTAACACAGATCCATTTAGCAGTTTCTCTTCCATCTTTGTTTAAAAGAGTACTGCCCTCTGGACTGGGTTAGCCACACAGTAATTCCACATTATGGTAATTTCATGCAGTATAGTGCATTATGTGCAGTCATTTTAGTGTTGTTTTGTGTTTCGACTGGCAGCACTGTCATCTCACAGCATTAAAGTTCTTATTTTGAACCTACCGGTTGGTTTCTCATCTTTTAGGTCCTCCAGTTTCTCCCCCCCCAGTCCAAAGGCATGCATGTTAGCTTAATTAATAGTTTTAAATTAGTGGTAAATGTATATGTTAGTGTGAGTGGTCGTTTGTCTCTCTATTTTAGCACCGTGATGAACTCATTTCCGGTCCAAGGCCTTCATAGCCGATCTTTGATTGGATAGGCTTTTTAAAAACTAGATGTATGGCTTTCATTTTGTTAAATGTTCAGAGTCAGGTCAGTATTCATCAATAATGTAGATGTGGTTTACTTTTAGCTGGTCTTTCTCCAAAGCTGTTGGCATTGATCTGTAACATACCAGTTCTTCAAGTAGCTTAACCTCTGTTCAGCACGCTCTGACACTCATTTGCGGTAGAAGCTTGATAATTATGATAGCCTTGATGTTGTTCCCACTAGTCACATCCTCCAGCTCTACTTTGGGGTTTCTGAGGTGTTTCCAGTTCACATTCAATATGTAATCCCTTCACTATATTCTAGGGCTGCCCCAGGGTCTTCTCCTGTTTTATGTCCCCTCAAGGTTTTTATGCCAAATCCTTTCTGCATACATTAGTCCTTCATCTTGTCCCTGAGGGTCCAAAAACCTGTGAAGCAAACATAACTTTACTGCCTTGTTTTCTGTCAGTTTCCAGAGCTCATGACTACAGGTGATAGCTGAAATTCTGATCAGGTCCCTTTTCACAGTACAACACCTGTATCGCTGCAGGTGCCACATCGATAAGCGCTGGCAATCTTTGTTGCTGTTTTAGGCTGACTCGTGAGCAAGGCCACAGGATACATACAAATCTGTCATTTCAGTTAGGAATAAATTGTTTATCAAACTCTTTTAGCTATGATCAAGGACTTTCATGGCTCAGTGAAAGGCCTCGGTTCTCCATATTCCCTTTGCACCTTTATAGGAACATGTTGAGGTGTTCTTATAGAAAACGTCCTCTACAAATAGAGCACATCACCTATCTACAGGCTTATGGCCCATTGCCAAGCATAATGTGAAGGAGTTCACATGTGATGTAAGTTACTATAAATCACACCTCCCATACTTTATTTCATATCTTGGGTAAATTTTATATTACAGTGAAAAGTGAATAGCGATTATTTTATGAAAAGACGCAAGACTCTCGTTATAAGGGGTTTGTTTAGCTGAGCTCCTCCCACATATGAGATTGAGGCGCAGTTTAGAGTTATGTGTTAATCACACCAGTTGACTCTTGCTTCTAATTTAGTTTAATGTTAAAGACCCTGCAGAGCATAAGCTGTCTGTGTACAAACAGATTTGCTGTCTAAGACCTTAATATGTTCTGCCCAGTGAGCACAGTCCAAATTCTGCTTTGGCCTTGATAGCCATTAACACTCCCATGTTGCCCAGGAAAGAATGAGAGAGCATATAGCATGTCCATTCATGTGCAGTAAAGCAAAGGACAGACTGATGATCATTACGATGCAAAGTGTGATGCTGATTATGACTGTGTTTATAATGAGCTCATCTCACCTTAGAGAGCTGTGCTATTTGAGGAAAAAGCCATTTACCTGAGAAGACAAGGCAGTCATGTGAGAAAATGCTACACTGAGGCGGCTTAGTTTTGATGGCATCTGTAAAAATGGCATTTGCAGTTGCATCTTTGGACTTATGCTGGGATTTCACGCACAGAGACAAACTGAAAGAGCTAGATTTATTAACAAGCTGTTCAAATATTAATCTGTTTTTTTAGCTGTCTTTGCAAAAAAAACAAAACAAAATCAATCCTAATTAGGAATCTGATAACTGACATGGAAATGTTTGCACTTACCATATGCAGAGCTTATTCAATTTTTTCCTCGTACACTGAAAATTAAAATGACTTTTTTGTAAAACCTATACACTTTTTCCCCAAAGGGTTTTATCCCCTAAACTGGAGTGTAATCACTGGGATAACATTTATTTTTGGATCTTATATTATCTGACATCGCCTTTTTTACTGTATTTGCACATGGAATAAAATCATACTAAGTGTCAAGGTCAGTGTGATCTGTGTAAACTGAATTATTGCTATAGCTGCAGTGCACTTTTTTTTAATCAGGATGGAGCTTTATATAAATCAAATCAAATATTTTATGACAAATTTACAGTTTCAGTTCATGTTTTTGACTCTTCGGGATTCTTTTTTTTTACCTGAATTTTCTTCTTCTCAAATTGATAGTTGCCATCGTAACGGAGACAAATCCTGGTGTCCTAGGAAACGATGAGTATCCATCATACTGTAGATTGCATTAGGAGTTTGTGCACAAGTGCATGCTTAAGGGTAGATGTAATGGGTCCTACATTTGTATTTTTCTGAAGCTACGCTCAATATTGCAGCAAAACAAGAGAAAAGAAAAAAAGCGCAGTGAATGTTTTTGATGATATGGACTCTATAAAGCTCCAGAGAAAGGCAAGGACCCAGCTGCCTTTGCTGAGTGCTGCCACTCAACACCACATGATAAATCAATTAGAAATCCCTTTAACATTTTTAAATAGTCAACTTTTTGTTGTCCGTCCATCTCAGACTAATTTTAGAAAGCTTATTGATACCCTCTTCCAGGAAGCTGTTAAACAATATTATAACCACGGAGAACACAAAACAATCTAGGATATACCCGAAGCAACCAGTTAACTAACTCTTGCAATGGAAATTGCTTTCTATTGAGAAATGTTGATATACAACATTGACAACGACATCGAGAAAGTAGAAAATGTAATAAAAGCCATTTAGGCTCGTCTTGAGTCAGGCAAATCAAAGCTTGGAATAATTTATTACAGCAGAAGAGTATAATTACAATTTGGAGTTTGGGCTCCAAGCTCGTCACTTCCCACAAACATAATACGCAAACAAATTGGGAAGTGATGAGTAAAAATCCCCCCGGTGCCTACAGGTGGATGGTGGTGTGCTGGAGGGGAATAAATAATGCAGCGGAGCCACGAAGCAGGGGAGCAACACCAATGACGTGGCAGAGAGGGAAACATGGGAACTTTGCAGCTTAATTAGACCACTAAATTTAGAGGGCGTGTTTGATAAATTAGGTGAGGAAAAGTGACACAAAGTGAGTCTTATGTGTGCAGTTCAGCTGTAGTTGTCTGCTTGACTTAGCTCATCCACTTTGCTTTTGCTTTTTTTTCTTTTTTTCTTTCAGGTTTATGATCATTAAGATTTTTATCTGAATTTTTCTAAGTGCCGTTTAAACCTCATCCTTGGCAACTAAAGCAATTTATTACAGGCAAGGAGAGGGCAAAAACAGCTCCAACATCTCCCTTCTGTCTGACACATACAGTAGATAATATGTGTCACCCAGGTCCGGTCAGCTTAATTGCAAGGACCAGCAAAGGTTAGGCTGTGTACACAACCTCACAGTAAGTGTAGTGGATGGGAGGAGGTATATATGAGTTATTGAAATGGATGAAATGGTCCTTTAAGGGTTTTTTTTCCACATCTGTGTCATTCTGACATAGCCTCAACTCCTTGCTTCTCCAATTGTGCACGCTTCCTCCGCTGTGCACGCTGCTGATGTTCAGTGCTCGGGCTCTGACATTAAAATGCGGCAGCCATTCTGGGCCTCAGTCCCGGCGGTAATTGGAAAGCCGTCAGCGAGCTGTTGTTTCGATAGAGAGGGAAGCAGAGAAAGAGAGGCTGGGTCAGATGAGGAGAGCAAGAAAAGCAATAGAGAGTGTGGGCGAGAAAGAGACAAATAATGCTTGAAATCAGGGAAAGAGTAGACCGAAGGATTTAGAAATAAGAGGAAAGGGCACATGAGGTTGGTGAAGGATCGAATGAAGGCTTTAAAGTGACTGATATAATATGCTGAGGGAGAAATGGCAAAAGAGTGAAAGAGAGTGAAAGTGATGAAGAGGTTTAGAGATTTCTTGTCTTTTAAGTAAACGTTGCAGAGAGTAGCATCAAGGTCCAAGTTCAGGGCATAAGAAAACCACTTGTTACAGTAAAAATACAGTCTCCTGTCTATATGTGAAACAGAAACAAGAACATCTCAGATTGGTGAAATGCCATTTTAAGCATTTGATTTTTATTAATCTCCTATTTGTGATTACTATAGATGTATTGCTTTTTGTTTTTTGACCTATGGTGAAGCTCTGATCAGACAAGAGGCAGAGTGACGCTGAATGCAACTTACAGAGCGGTGGCAAAGAAGTGATGAATGAAGACTAGGCGGAGCTCTGCTGCTGCTGTATTAGAATTCACCGCCAGAGAGAGAGAGAGCAAAGATGGAAAAGGAAAGAGAGAGAACGAAGACGCAGCAGAGAGAAATGTTGAGGAGTAAAGGGATAACAGGGTGAAATGAAGGCGAGAGAATGGGAGAGAGAGGGAAAGGATTTGAGACGAGGGAAAAGAGGGAGGAGCGACAATTAAACCAAATCGGCTGGAGCTTTTTGACCCCCACCCCACTGCACACAAGCACACACACACACACATACACATACTATCACTGCCTGCCTCAGGGAGCCATGGTGCGTGCACGTTCGCAGGCAGACAGGCAGGAGATCAATCGTGCTCTGGGACGAGTGTGTATGTCTGTAAGCGACGTGTTAGCAACATGCTGGTGGCGGCATGTGCCGTGCTAGTGAAGGTGCAGTGTTAGCGGGAGCAGAGGGGGCTGTCTGTGTATGTGCCTATGCACACAGCTAGAATGCACATAGAGGGCTTGTGGTGTGTGAATGTGAGCGAGCCGTCAAAGGGGAGGGGAGCCACGGAGCAGAGCAGCAGCAGCAGTAGCAGCAGCATTGCCAGAGTGTGTGCGAGCGTGTGTGAGAGAGCGTGTATGTGTGAGGGGTGGAGGGGAGAGGAGAGGCAGACGCGGCGGGACTCCCGGGAGAGGGAACGGGAGTTGGGGAGCAAACCCAGCCTCTCTCCTCCACAGCAGGACAACCAGGACTCAAGGACGAGGCAAGATCTGTAACCCAGCCTGGAGCATCTGGAATTGGGGACGTATGGGGGATTTCTGTCCCTTTCTGTAGGGGACTTCTGCTGGACACCCAACTCAGGATGTGTTGGACTAAGGGGAGGGGGCTTCCAGACGGATCTGGCAGAACCACACAGAAAAGGAAGCAGTGCAGTTCCTCTAACCGTTATGTTTCTGCTTCTACCTCGATTAGGATGCGAGGGAGAGGGGAGAGATAGAAGGAGGAGGTAAAAGAGAGCAAGGAGGATACTGTCTATTGCTATTAAGGAGGGAAGAGAGGGAATAAGAAGAAGGGAAAGGTGAGGTAGTGGCTGTGAGGGGTGTGCTCTCCACTGATGACTCTCCCATGGAACACTGACTATTGACCCTTCATTGGCAGGTGCTGGAACTTGTTTATGAATCCCTCCCTGGCCACCATAACAACCAGGGGGTGTCACTAGGTTTCTGTCCCGCTGACGAACATGTCGGTGACCACAGGCTTCAGTTACCAGCTCCCTGGAATCACCACAGTGACATATGTATTTGTTTACAGCCCTGGCTCTGTGCAGAGAGACCCAAGCCCACCTCATCACACGCCTCCAGCACTGTCAGGCTCCCGCGGGCCCAAACGGAAACTCTACAGTGCCGTCCCAGGACGTACCTTCATTGTGGTCAAGCCCTACACGCCACAGGGGGAAGGAGAGATCCAACTCAACCGTGGAGAACGGGTCAAAGGTAGGATGGCTACTACATGTTTGACTAGCTCCCTAAACCTACTAAAGTAGGTAGTAATAACACTACTGTTGTTAACATGTTGTATTTCATAGCATGACAGTAACTTTCCATCATCACCAATGTTTACGATGTGCTGCAAAGTCCAGAACTACATGTGGCTTGCATGAGTATCAAAGTTGGGTTTCTTGCAGTGTAAGAAAAATCAAACATTCCTATGCTCTCATACTTCTCAGAAGCAGACCAAACCATTACTTCACTACGATTTTTTGTTGCATAGCAGTTATGTAATCTTTCTGTCTGGGAGTCATTTCGCTGATGTTTGAGTTTGACATTTGATTTATCATTTCATTAACCTCTTAAATGTGCTGTTTTCTGTTTTACACAGAGGTGCAGTGGTTTTCCTTTCATGTGTTTGTGTGTGCTTTTGTCTCCATTTATGCTTCACTCAAGACTATGACTGTAATGACGTAGAAGGTAAACGCAATAATATTCTTCTCACCCTGTACCTCTCCCGCACACCACAGTGTGTCAACCCTACACCTACAGTGAAGCAAGTAGCTCTTGGCCCTGTTTGAATCCACTTGTGATGTGTGTACAATCTCAGTACAAATTTGTGATTACTTCAAGGAGAGGGCATGCAAATTCAAACAGGTCCCGTGTGCTATTGGTTGCTGGTTTGCATACATATATTGTGTTCTTCCTCCTCTCTTAGAGTGCTTCTCCCTGAACACACAACTGCTTTTCTCCCTTCTCTTATCGCCTGTCCACAGACACCCAGCACCGCATTGACCCCACATCCCTACATCCTGCCACTTCACATACATCACCATGGATCAAACCCACATTAGCTTAATGGAAACAGTTCCCTCATGTCCTTAGAAAGACCAGAGAGAGTAGGGCAACACTCATGCGGAGACCTCTTATGTTGCTCTCAGATCTACAGAGGCACAGGAAGTACAGATTAAGGGTCAATTTGGCATTTCAATTTGGATTTTGTGCAAACAACCAAAGCACACAAATGTCCCCACACATGATCGACATGCACAAACACACACACATACACACACCATACCTTTTCCCTCTTATTCCTTTCTTAAAAACATTCAGTAGCGTGTCACTCAAACACTATTCTAAACCTAGTGCCACGATGCCTTCACTGTCCTTACACATACAGAAGTATTCACCAAAATGTTTTCTGTCTTCTGTCTTCCCTGACAAACTTTTTTTTCAGCAGACCTCCTCCTGTGTGTTTTGACGCCTCCTTTTCATAGTATCATGTCTGTTTTGTGGAAATACTGCTGTTGTTTAAAGCTATCAGAGTGCTGTTTTTCCTGTAGAAAACCAAGTGATACAGCATTTTATGAAACAGTGATGCATACTGAGGTTGACACAAATGCTATTGTGAATGTGATGACTCAACAGCAGCCTAGTATGCTTCCATCCACTGAATGGATCTGCTGTCACTAGCTTTTCTGTCTGTGAAACCAAATCCATAACCCTGCCACTAATGTGAAAACCCACTGCTTTGTCGTTATTTCATGTTAGCCATGCAGGAAACGAGCTTATCGTTGCATAGCTGCCAGCACCCCGGCCCGGCCAAGTTAACCATCTGGCTCCCTTATGCAACAGTGACCATCATAACCATAACTATGTTGCGTTTACTGCCTTTATGTAGTCTCAGGATATAAAATGAGAAATATGTCACTGATGTCAGCTGGTTATTGAAAGGCTTAAGGTCCTGGCCGTTCAGGTTTAATGAGTTTTGTTTTTTGTGGTTTCTTTCTTTTGTGTATAGAACACTTATCTTGTTAATCAAGGTTTCATGTAATTAAGTGTAATTCACTTTTTTATTTATCAGATGGTCAGAAAATTCAAAAAGCTTTTTATCAAATAAAGTAACACAGAGTAAGTCTGCACTCTACTATCGTGCCACCCCACAATGCCCATTCTGAGCCTGGAAAAACCCTGTTTAGTAAAAAAATAGAAAGAAAAATCTGTTTAGTGTTTTTACAATCTTAAAAAGAATGACCAGCTCTCTTGGCACAAAGGGAGGCTCAGCTTGAGAAGCCGTTTTCTTTAGGGATGTATGACCTTTGGTTTGATACATAATGGATCTCATCTAATCTGCATTCATAAATGAATGAGCTGCTAATAGTAGTAGGGCTCTTTAACAGTGGGAGACAGGAAGACGTAAAACAAGTAAAAGAGATCGTGGAACATAGGAGGATCTTTTTTCTTTATCTTTTCTTGTCTGATTATCATGACAGATCAAAAACACATTTAGGGATGCAAGAGTAGTTTCTCTATGTGTGCTTACATGAATTTGCATGCATGCCAAGCAAAAATCATCAGGATTATTTGTTTCCCAAAGCTGAATAAGCTACTTCGTTGGACCTCTAACATGAAGATGATTCATTTGTGTTTAGATAATTAGCTCCCGCCCCCAATATCCAACCAAAGCAAATCTCTGTCCTCCTGTTAATGTCCACACATCCTTGCTAATCACCTGCTATACCAGAGGAGCATCCCTATGATGAGATCAGACTGGGTAAATCTTACTAAATGATTTCTGTGTTTGTGTGTTTCTGTGTGAGTAAGTCTCTGGCTAGAGTCCATGGTTACATGAGCGAGCACAAGCTTACACATGTAACTTTCATTAGCTCACCTGTAAGACTGGCAGCCTGTTGAGGCATAGATTGTTGTATGTTGTACAAGAAAGAGTTTAAAACATCATGTGATAATTGAAGATCTTTACTGATTAGACTCATAGTGTTGTTCTACACAGTAGAATGTAGCATGTAGTATTCCCATTCCATTATGTCTATAATTTTCTCATTTTCTGTTACAATATAATGCATCTAATCCAAAAAAAAACTGAGAATAGTATCAACAGTGTATCCATTTCTTGTGTCCTGTCACTTTTAGTGAACAATGATTATCTGGATTCAGATGGTAAATACAACAGATCTGTATTGCAACACATCCCATAGCCTGTAGTTAAACGTAGAACCCATAGTTCAAGTAGGAACCATATGATGTCTCTTATATGTATCCACAGTTAATTATTATTGGGGGGTTTTTTTTGCTGCAAGATATTAATTGGAAATTCTTTGAAATAAATTAAAAAATCGAATAAAAGCAAACTATTTAAACAGCTTCATTTGGCAGTTGAAGAGGGCTTGCAGCAAAAAGTGAAGAGTCATCCTTAATTACTTTTTAAATTTTTTTTTTCAGACAGTTTGCAAATTAAAACGCAACAAAAATTTTACAATTTGTGTTGTGCTTGTTAGGATAAACCATACAAGTTAGCTGTTATTGTTTGTGCATTTGCTTGTGCCATTTAAAGTTCTAAAGTTACACGTTTATCAGCTCTTTATTGATTTCTGTGGTGGTTTATAGCAGACAGTCCATGCTGTGAGGATGCTGATGATTACTCTCTTGACAATGATGATGAATATGATGAACATGAAGGTAAAATGATATATTATTGTTTGAAAGAAGGATGACAAAGTGCTTGAACAGCTAAACCATTAACAAGACAAAATTGTGTGCCATTATTTCATGAAAAACAAATAGTTTGACTGCTGGAGGACTGTATTCTGTATCTGTTTTCCTCAGTGAGTGGGGATCTTCAGGCTTTTCTTTAAATCTAATATTGCAGTGTTGATTTGTGGTGTTGTCTAATTATAAAAGAATGTCCAATATTGTAATAATGTGAAAATTTAAAGTCATTCCACTTTTTCATCCTTCATCAGTAGATGAGTCAGTTTCAGTGACTGAACTAAACAACACTGTAGTCACATTATCATGTACTTTATCATAACCAGTTTCTCTTTGCTTGGAAAAGTTCCCGTTCTTCACTATGTGCTTGTCAGTCTTTTAGTCTGTTGTCTGCAGTCAATGTCTCTAGACAGCCTTGTTCTAGACAAGCAGTCCCTCTGTCCTGCATTTAGCAGGGTCATCCACATCCAGGTCTCCAAGCAGACTGTTAGTGTTAGGTAATGAGTACTGTTCATCTTTTGTCACTCTCTGACTGGTACTGGTATCATGTTGTATTTGAAGGTGTGTTTTTGATTGTGCATCTCTGTGCCCAGGCCCGTAATGGTGGTTCAAGGAAATTAATCTTTACAAGACAATCAAGTATTGTAGTCAGCCTGCGTGTGTTGATCCCTACATTACTTTAAAGGCTCCTAAGACCCTCTCGCATCCCTGTTTAAACTCATTCCCTCGCTCACCCCAGTGTTTGTTTCTGCTCTTTCCCTCCATTGATGTAATCTGATCTTATCATCTGGATGGACATCTCTTGAAGGCCACTTATAGTCACTATGGTAACAAATGAGGACACAACCAGGTCAAGCATTTTGCCAAGCATGTATCCTCACACACATGCACACACACACCCACACATGCACACACCAGTATAAACACACACATTATATAGACTTGCTTAAACTCATTTCACGTAGAACACACATTTAAAGTAATGGATGTGTGTGTGTCATCGTGCTGTCTCCCTACCATCCTACCTCCACAGGGAGCATTAACCGAACGTTCAGGACATTCTTCTCCTCAACAAGGTGACACACTTAAGAGCATGCTTCCGTAACAGTGTATTACATCTCTTGCACACACACACGCGCACCTGTGTGCACACACACCACATACACCTTCTCCAAACGCCATTATAAATCTTGCAGACAGCCATGAAAATGAAACCAGTGCAAGTAATGTTGAGATTAGACATTCACAAACATGATTAATGGGGTTTGGCCGCACCCAATGTGTGCAGAATATTAACACTGCTGTGGGCAATGGAGGATACCTGGACCAGCTATTGGGGCAAAAATACAAAAATACACACCCATATACTGGGGTTTAATGGATTACCCCGTGTCTACTTTTACACTACCTCAGAAGGCATCTGTTACTGCAGTCGGGTTCTTTGGGAACACACACAGTAGCTTAGCCTTTATCTAAAGCACGCATGCTTAACAAGGCCATTGAACTGCAAAAATTTCCAGTTGAACCCATGTTCTGAAGGCACGCTGCTGTTGTACTTATTGCTTTCCAACAATAGCTATCAACGCGTTATTGTGTACATGCGTTTTTGTCAGGGCCAAGAAACAGCGTATTACAAATGAAACATTTAACAGTGCATTATGTTTTTAAATAACACAGCTTGCCTGTATTAACACTAAAATGCATATGGATCTGTCAGTTACCAAGCAACAGGTGCTAAGTGCACTTTACAGCTCTGGCAGGTCATTTAAGACAAAAATAAAAATGATGAAATAGTGGCTTTAGCTAGTTTCTGAAAAATCTGATTTGGTTCCAAAAACCAATATTCTTTTACATGCATTTCATTTTTAATTTTTAAGCTTTATAGTCAGATTCCTCCATTGTCTTGTCTGCAAATCAAGTTGGATAAAAGCCTCTTTGCTAAGTGTTGAATTTAGACTAAATATCATTGTTAG